GTTTGGATAAACATTCCTTAGTCTGAGGCAGGCAGTGTATGTTCAGTGAGACAGGAGCACGCGGGGATCTCTGAGCAGTCGCAGGGCTTTAACACAAACACTGTGCCTTGTCATCACTCATCCCACCATCGAGCCACTGCCCTGGGGCTAAGGACATCCCCAGAAATAGCTCCTGGGTTCCCACTCCAAAGAGCAAATCCCTGCTTCCTTAAAATCTCAGAGATGCTCCCTCTGTCTTGTACATTGAGAGGGACTGGGGAAGAATGTTTGGGAATCCCAAAGCCCCACAGCACTGGCCCTCGTGAAGGACATGGGAACCTACAGCTCAACCAGCAACTTCAGATTTCTTTCTTAACTGAAATCAATAGTAGAAGTTGTATTTCTGTACCACAGAGATGACTGGATCTGTTCTCCACGTGAGGTCACAGATCCCAGGGTATTCAGAACCAAAGACTTTTAGATCATCTTTCAGCATCAGCCAGGTCTGCACACAAACTTGTATTTCTCCTTTGATTTTGACCTGCTGCGTAATTTCCACTAAATAAAAATAAAAGGCAGGAGTTCTCTAATTAAAAAAAAAATCCTATTCCTACACGTTTCGCAGAAGCAGGTGAACCAGAAGGAGGGAGACTTGTGTTTAAAGAGTTTTGAGTTTCTCCCAGTATCTTTAGAAGAACTGATTTCTGAAGCAAATTTGCCATCAACACACTTGACAGCAGCAGGTTATCAGTTTACTTGGCTATAATATAAAACTTGAATGCAATATAGTTAGGAAGGCAACCATTATGAGACCCAAATCCACTGAAAATTAGTTTTAGGGAATTGCTCAATTGCTAAATAAGATATAAGGATGTTTTTCCACCTTGGGAAGTCCAGGATATTTGCTGCAAATTGTATAAACAGGATTGTCCCAGCACACACCAGGGAAAGGGAAAGGCGGGGTGAATTCTTATAACTCAGAAACTGTTCTAAGAAGAAGATGAATCAGATCAAAGATAGTAAGAAGCTTAGGACCTGAAACCATCAGTCAGATATTACAGCACTGCTATGAGGAAGGCAATTCAACAAAGCTTCAGCTCTGCTTATGGATTTTAATTCTGCATCAAGGGCATTTTAAGTCACCCTGTTTTATCATTTTAGAACTTACTATGTTCATTCAGAGTCCCAAATGCCTCAGGAGCCTCAATAAAGAAACACTGAAACACTGACTGTTGAATATGAAGCACAAATCAGAGGATGTCTAAAAACTATTTTGGGCCATAAAATTGTGAGTAATTTTTCCTCAATCTACTGCTATTTCAAACACAGCCTGATGAGTCTTTTTAAAAAGATTCTGCCTACCTTTAATTAATCAGGAAGAGCTGATAATTGTTAATATGATGCAAACTGTAACACTTCAAGTTGCCACTGTGCACACAGATTATAAAAACATTGCTGCTCTGGTCTATTAAAAGATCAGAAAGCACATGATCCTCCCTCTCCAGCACATCATTCCCTACAGAAGGAGTCAAGGATTGAGGTGTAGAGAAAGTTTTCAACTAAGTAAATAATTGCCACCTCTTCTGGTAAGCCCATTATCATCACTTACTAATTTTCCTACATTTTTCCCAGGAAGTTCTTGTCTTTCCCCAAAGACTCCCATTTCAGTGAGAAAAAGAACAATTTGTTTGACTGTCCACACTGACTTCTGTTGATGATAATGCACTTCAGCCATCCCAGTAAGTGCAATCAGTCAGGATAAAATGGTGACTTTGGAATAGATGAGCTTCAGGTTCAAATTATTTGGTATCTACAATTTAAATTTTGAGAAAGAAAACATCATCTCCCTTCAGCCTCAAACCCCAAAGCATTTAAAGGCACAAAGGCTTCTCCCTAATACAATTACAACCCAAGAAGCTGAAACAAAGATGCTGCTTTTTATAGTAAGGATTTAATTTTTATAGACTTGGGTGAAACTTTAACTGTTTCACACTGGGTGAAAACATCAAGTCAGCTGTCTCTTTTTAGCCCTCCGTGCTCTTAGCCTTTGAAATTAGCACCATGACTGCTGCTTGGCTGGCAGAGAGCACAGGAGAAGCACAAATTCTGAACATAGATAAATATTGCTGTGATTGAGCGGATGCTGCTGCCAAGCAGAGCAGCAGAATGAGAGTGTCAAATAAGCTGATTCTATACAATACTGAATTTCTCTCTCTGCCTTGCAATTTCCCCTCATAATAAGCTAAAAATACAGACAGCAAGATTATAAGGATCAGGGAAAATGAATAGCTTTTAATAGTGGTTCTTCTGTAAACACTAAAGACATATCTTATAAATGAAAAGAATGTATGGTACTATTCTTACGAGTTTGTACAAATAATTAATGAGATGTTTCTCCACGTGGAAAAACTTAGGTTGGTGATAAAGCATAAACTTGTACAGCCTGTCCTTAGATGCATCTCCTGAATCCTTCACAGCCTTTTGGGGGCCAGGAGCCAGTACCAGATTTGTGGGTACTTCTAAGGGCCAGTCAGAGAGTGAATCTTCCCTCTGCAAGAACAAATGGATGTGGAGGACAGACACCTACACAAGCAGGACAGGTTTAAATCATCAAGGAGCTGCTGACAGAGTTCTGCTGGTCAACACCAACGAAATGGTTTCTCCAGCAGAAACTGGCATGGGGTGAGGGCAGCTGAGATTACAGCTAATGCAGTATATAATTGCCTTTCATGAAATAACAAAACACCATCCATCTGAGGCATTTCCAAACATGCTGCTCCAATAAGGATTCCAGTGAGTTACTCTTTATACATGCCAGCAGAGCCAGCAGTCCCTAAGGAATGCCAAAGGATTAAACAAGAGCTGCATTCATTCATGGCTGTCATGTTCAAACATTAGAAAACTTGCATTCAACATACAGAGTTAACATTTGACCCAAGTGTTTTAGAAAGAGAAAGAAAAGCAGCTCTGAAAAATCATATTGGCAAGGCAGAGCACTCTATTTCTTTTTAAGGAGGATCCATTTTGATATATTCTCAGTCCCTCCCAAGAAAAACTTTAACAGGGCTAAAAGGATAAAGGGAGGAACACTAAAGGAATGATGCAATCTGCCCAAGCTGAGTAAATAAAGGCTGTCTTGGGCATCCACAGTCAGAAGATGGCAAACAGATACAACCTGAAAGTCAGACAGGAAATCTTCAGGAGCTCTAGGAAGTTGTAGCAATCAGCAGAGAGCACTGCTCCTTCCTACAGTGTAATCACAGGAGGAAAGATGCTGCTATTCCCTACAGAATACATCTGGAATGAACACACAAAACAGCTGGTGTTCTGCCCTCCCTAGAAAGCTGAGATCTTCTCTTTAAGGGAAACCATACAAATTATGTAAAACTTTTTCTTGCCAAATAAAATCTCCCTCTTGATCCCTAAAAAGATGGACATTTAAGGTCGCATTTCCAAGCTTTTCTGCTTCAGACAACTCATCCCTCTCCCTTCAATACACAGAAAGCTTTAGTGCACTGTAGTACAGACAGAAAATCTCCCAGCATGTATACAAGGACTGGGTAGGAAGAGAACCTTGAAATCTTGTCATTTTAAAGCAAGAACTAACAATCTTCAGCACGTAAAAGATGAACAGTTAAACTTTCCTTAGAATAAGAAATGCTGCTGTGGGTGGAGGGGAGGTGTTTACTTTTCCTTCACAGTATCTACTTTGCAATCTTCCTACTCTTGCAGCAGGTGCACATGGACACACTTCAGGAAAACCACTCTCTGCCGTTGCTAGTTTCAAATTTACATTGCATTCAGAATGCATATTTCTGTTCTTTCAGTGAAATACTTTGTAAAGCAGACAGCATCAAGGCACTTCCTCTTTTGTAGCTCTTTTTCTTTCTTCTTCCTGCATGTCAACACAAGTACATCGCAGGTTTTAAAAGCCTTCTGCTCAAAGATCTCAAAGCAACCTGTGAACTTCTATAAAACCCTGCCCATTCAGCACAGTGGGTAAGTGAAGGGGTGGGGAGGAACAAGCCTTAATTTCACAGTCATATATTTAATCATCAACATATACAATCACAGAGCAGATTTTCCTCCCCATGCTCTATTTTGGAAAATTTCTTTGGTGTTGGCTTTTGTTTGTTTATATTTCTTAAAATTATTTAAAGCACGGAATCAACACGAAGATGAAAGGGAAAACTAACTCCTGATTTTTTTTATGCAGCAGGAGCCACATTACCCTGTGAGTAACAGCAGCAATTACCTTGTGCCCCATGACAGCTATGGCACAGAAAAGGGAGCACTGCATGGCCTGAGGTACAGCACCATAGCGGGAACAGGAGGGGCCTGGAGCAGCCCTGTGCCTGGGAATCCCGCAGCCCTGACAGTGCCCAGAACATGGCAGCAAACTCTGCCGAGCCACCTGAGGGGATGCCAGAGCAGCTCACCTAGGAACAACGCGAGGATGGGGAGCGGCCATAAAAAACAAATCCAAAAACGCCAAGGTAGATTATTAGTAAAATATCCGTATGTAAATGCAGGATGCAGGGAATTGCGGATCAGCACTAACCGAGGAATGCAAGGACTACCCAGACCTCTTCCCTCAGAATCAGCCGCTCAAGCCACCACTAACCCAGCGCAGCGCCGCAGCTTCCCCGGGAAGAGACTGGAGCAGAGGCTGCGCTCCAACCTTCGCGTCCCCGCTCCGGACAAGCTCCCCGGAGGCTGAGGGGGACGAGCCCGTCCCGCCGCTGCTCCGCGTCCTGCCGGGGCTCGGCCGGGCCCGCGGGCAGCACGTGCGGCGGCCGCTAACAGCCCTCACGGCGCCGCCGCCCCTCACGGCGCCGCCGCCCCTCACGGCCCCTCGGCGCCGACCCCCGCGCCCTCAGACCCGCCCAGCGCGGCGGCCGGACGGGAAGCGCGGAGGCCCCGAGGCGGGAGGCGGCGGGCGCGGCTCCCGCCGCCCTCAGGCTCGGCCGCCGCTCCGCGCGCTCCTCAGGGCGGCCCCCCCTCCTGCCCCGCCACCTCACCGGCCCCGCCGCCGGCGCAGCTCCGGCCGCCTCCTCCGGCTGCTGCTCCCGCTCCTGCTCCCGCGGCCCCTCTGCAGCGGCGCCGCCCCGGCTCGCAGGAGGCGGAGCGGGGCGGGCGCAACGTCTGCGCCCGCCGGGGCGGGGACTGCACCAGCGGCGGCGGCACCGGCGGTGCCCCCGCGCTCCCCGCGCCCCCTCCTCTCTCTTTGTCCGCCCCCCGCTTTGTTCGCCCCGCGGCAGCTCGCGGGAGGGAGCGGCTGTGCCCCGGCTCGGGGCGAGCCCGGTGGTCCCGGAGCCGCCGCTGCGGCACAGCCCGGCTGGGTGGGAGGGGGAGAGGGTGGGCACAGACGGGGAGGTGTGAAGCGCATCGCTCTAGTGGGTGAATAACTTCACTGTCTGCTGCTTCGCTCCATTTTCCTTTTGTCCTGATGCCCAGAAATTCATCATGCAGAAATTTATTATCCCAAAGTACTGGGTATTTTTATTTTCATGGTGTTTGTGAAGCAACACATTGGAAGCTGGCGTTATCCCACTGCTAAAGTTTAAACAGCTGGAGCAGCAGCCCCAGTGCCACCATCAACAATTTAATACCGATTTTCAAGGCTGAATCAAACAGCTTTGCTCCACTTCTTCCCTTCTAACAAACAGGCAGCAGAGCCCAGCCAGAGCTGGCCCATCACCGCTGAATTCCTCACAAAGCAAACCTCAGTTTGAAGTCTCATAGCTTGTTGGGTTTCTGCATGATGCCATTCGAACAAAAGGGTGATGAGAAAGCAGTTCCATTGCTGGGGACTGATTGCAATTTGTGTTTCATTTTGGCTTCGTTCTTTGGCATTAATCCAGCACGGTAAAACACAAAATGGTGTGATGCACTCCCCCAAATAAAAGGTTTCAACTACGTCAGCATTTAGCAATGTTTGTAAGAATTTAACTTCCTAAACATTAAACACAATCTCTTTCCATGGCCATTATATGGTGAAACAGAATTTGAATTCATGTACAGCCATCCCTCTTTCTCCCTGCAAAATTTGATAGAAGTTTCACTGAATAAGGACTTCAGGATTTAAACACTGGGTTGTATTCAGAAGTGCAGAGCCAGCAAAGGATTGCTTTTTTAAAAAAATGACCCTGCAGCCCCTAGCTATGGAAATAATCCTACAAAAAATGCAATAAAGGTAGAAACTGGAGAGTTGCACTAACTTTACAGAACACTTGCCTAAAATATCTGCTGGCTTAAGAGCTGCAGTGGTGAACTTCTGCGCTTCTTTCTGGTGGTGAAGATTTGAGCTTTCTGTACTGATCTGATGCTAACATAAAATGGGTTTTTCTCTAAGTGTATCTATCATTCTCCATCATTAATTTGATGTTTTGTCTCTCAGTTAATTTGCCACCGTGTAAGTCCATCTCAAATGGTTGCAGTTCAGTGCACAGCATTAAAATTGTATAGGCAATATCAGACTGATGAATCTAGGACACAGCACAGCAACGACAAGACAGCTAAACGATGAAAACTAGAAGTTCCAACTTTGTGCTACTAATGTAGAACTTGTCATCATTTGGGAACAGTAACAGTGGAGAAATAATTGATAAAATGTTTAAAGCTGTAAATAGTTTGCTTCACTCCCTTACAAGATTATGATAAAAATGTCCTGGACTAAGGCAAGTATTGAGAATGTCACACAGATCAAGGGAATGTACCACTGTTTCTTCCAGTAATTTCCTACTGAACAGGCTCAGCTTCAAGATCCAATAGTCCTGTAGGAGAAAAAGAGAGTTTGTTATCCATTCTTTGACCAGAATCAACTTCATACTATGAAAATGTAGCTTTGGAGCAACTGTAACTTCAGTTCATGCCACCTGGAAATGGATGACAGCCTCTGTGAACCAGTCTGCACCCATAGGGCACAGCCAATTTATAGGAATCATTGTAATAAAAGATCTTGGTACTATAAACCACATTCCTCTACAGGATTAGATATGATTGAAAGCCAGAATATCTTTGATTCCAGTCCTGGTGGCTGTTTTCTGATCTGCATGATCAGATCAGTCAATAAACAATATATAGGCATTTTCGTAACTCCATGAGAACAGGAATTGCTGGATGCTCCAGGGAAATTCAGGATGCCAACATAACTACTGGCATCCTGACCACAAGTACAAGGCTCACTTTAAAATTAGAATTCTCAATAATGTGGGAACACCAGTTGCAGTTGTTTCTGCCCTTCTTCAGATTTGTGAAGGCTACAAGGTTGTTGAAGCTTTCTAAAGAGCAAAAATGTTGTCCTTGAAGAACTGAATGTAAGGATCTTTCTACAGAAGAAATCCATTTTTCTATTCAATGGGATGTATTCACCCAAGTATGAGAACTTTTTTTCCATCTGAATTATCTCCTCAATATGCACATCTGGCAATTCCTATACAGAACTGATGGTCACATCTGCTACAGAAAAGGCAGCTAATTGCTTTTTTTTTTTAATCTCAGAAGTACTGCTTCAAAAATCCCAGCACTTGCACTACTGTTTTCTGTAGTTTATTTTCTGTAAAGGCTGCAAGAAGGCTTTTCACTGCTAATGTACTTACTGCTTCCCTTCCCCAGGTCAGCCAGACTACCCAGCAGACATAAAAGGAAAAGCTCTACAAACCCATGTTCTTTGGTGAGCTACTCAAGACAAGCTTTCATCCAATTTTACTTTATTTGTTCTACTCTAACATGGGTAAAACAATTTGAACAAATTAAAAAAGAATCCTTTCTGCATTCTGGTTTAAACAAGATACTTAAATTAACAGTAATGTTCCTCTTGATGAGTGTTTCATTTCCCTGATAACTGAGGAACCAGTCTATTAATAAAGATGCAAATCATTCTAGCACTTATGTAAATAACAACAAAAGCTGAATTCTCACCTACAGCGAAGCAAAGCAGAAGGATTTTTTTTCCTATTGAGTGCTGAATTCTAAAGAAAGGGTAAATAAATGTTCATTCATTCATGGGTGACAACTAAACACATGCTGCAAATAATCTTATGTAACATCTCTGCTGCTGTAGTTGTCTGAAGCCTAGGAAGTGTCCAATTGTCACACGGTAATTACCACTTATTAAATCCATCCTGTTTTCTAAAAGTTACTCCAGGAATCACGACCAATTCTTCCCTCTGACTCATCCCCTCCCACCCCCCAAAATGTAGCAATGACTCTGCACTGTATTCTTAGGAACAGCATCAATCTTCAGTGGCATTCCCTTCCCAGGGGCAGCGCAGCCATGGCACAGAATGAAGGTGCTACGGGGTTCCATGGCAACTGAAACACTTGGATTATACTGGAGCTTTTTCCTCCTCTTCATTTCTCTTTTTTTTTTTTTTCCCAGCTATGCTGCCTCACAGAGCTTGCAGTGAAATAATTATTTTTAGCAGCTACCACATCTTTCAGATATCTTCTAGAATCTCAGCTATTTCTCTTCTCTTGACGTTTTGAGTGCTGTGAATTGGGTTATAAAAATTTAGAGTCAGAAATTTGGATCTTTTGAAGACACAACTTCCCATCTGATGCTCAGAATATTTTGCAGAGATTTGATTTTTTAGACGTGCATGAGCATTTAAAAATATTTTTGGTGTTCCAAGTGCTGTAAATAAACAGGAGGACTATGCCAACAGGAGTCTGTGGGAAAATTTGAGTGATGCCTGCTCATGCTATACCCACCTCATTACAGATTTTATTACTCATTCATTTCAGTGAGCTCTAATCTAGGTTATTATGCCACACCCATCACCATGGGAATGGCACTTAAAAGGACCCAAAATACTTTCCTATTCAGCTTTTCCTTGGGATTTAAGAGTGTGATCTGATTGCAGTTTCAATATACAAAACCCATTTGAGTAGTTACAGCTGACAGATTAAAAACCTCACAAATTACAAGCATCTTCAGTGCAACAATATGCAGCACTTGATAGAACAGTGAATTATAGATAAATAGCTAAAAGATGCAGATGAATGAATTCCTCATAATGAGAAGCAGCAGAGATAACTCCACATCCCTAATTAACTATGTCTTACGGCAGAGGTAAATACAGGAGGAGTTTTACTTACTGGTTCAGTTTTCTCACTGCACTATCCATGCTGACTGTGACCTCCAAAGAAAGGAGAATTCCAAAAAGATTTGAAAGAATAATTAAAAAGATACCTCTGAGTGCTCTCAGAGAATTTTGTATCATTTATCCTTATTTGAAATTAAATTACTAAAATAAAACCCAGAAATTAAACAGTCACTGCCTGCTTTACTGAGATAAAAACATATCACAAAAATATTATTTTAAGAAAAAAAATAAGCATTACAGAAACAATTATAACACTGCAGTTTGAAAGACAAAAGAAGAACACATGAAAATACTTCAGACACAACTGTTTTGCTTATCTGTTGTGACCAATTAATTATGTGGAAGGGTGATTGAGAATGGACCATACAGAGCACTGAAAGGTTCTAAGCACATAAAGATGATTTTTATCTTCTGCCTTGCTCACAGCACAAGCACTCCTTTAGTTTAGGCTGCATGTCCTACTCAGGCAGCAGCATTTCCTAAGAGCCATTAAAACCAGATCTTTAAGGTGTGGTGAGAGAACTGCATGTTTCAAATATGAGCAGCACAACACACCCAGAAGTTGCACTGGCAATCATCACCTCCTGCCCTGCATCCCTGTATCATCCACGTGGCAATGAGGCAGCACACAAAGGCTCCTGGAAACTGTCATTACTGGCTTTTAAATCCACAGAAGAAAAAGGAGGAAAAAGTGCCAGACCTCCATATGCTTCCCAACAGAGCTTTCTTTAGATGTGTGTAGAAGGTGGAAACGGCACATTATTTTGTTGTTCACTCCTGTTATAAAAATACTATTTTTCCTATAAACTAGAAAGGAAAAAGCCATTCATTTTAGAACATATGATGAACATTTACCTTGACTTGCTTTCCAAGTGCAACCAAATAAACTCAACTATGCTGCAAAAAAGATTTTTCGGCCTCTCAGAATTCACATATAAAGGTGCTTTGGTTTTGCCTTCCTGTAAAGTTTAGGGAGAAAAAAAAAGAAAAATAAATAAAGGCTTTAACTGCAA